TGAATGGGGTGGATTGTGTGCAGAATGGACTTGGCCTGTAGGAGGAGCTCACTTTGACACTGATTCTCTACCACTGGCAGTGGTGGTCCTTTGGGCTGGGGCCCCAGGTTCTTGGACACTCAGCAGTCGCTGCTCTAAGCTCCCTCCCCCAAAGCCAGCAAAACTTTGTTCCAGGCATGGTCTGTGGAGGCAGCTGAAGGGGCTTGGGTCTTCTCATGGGGGCCTGCCTTATGGCACTGTCCCCTCAGCCATGCCTCTTCAGCTCAGCTCCACCCACTCCCTGACACTGTCCCCTCCTGGGCCAGGCCTAAGCCTGCCCTGGAAGCGCTCCCAGCTGTCCTGATATCCCCTCTGGCTTCTGCAGATGCTCCGCCTTTACACCCCTGGAGGCCTCTTCTGGGCCACCAGCCCCTCCCCTCCCTCTCCAGAGGTGTCCCCAGACATCACCCCTGTGCTATTCTTTTTTCCTGACAACTGTGGCATCAAATGTCACCCAGGCTCTGCTCATTACAGGCAGGGTGGGGCTCTTGGTGACAGTGTGGTTTAGGGGAGGGTCCTCTGGATCCCCCCCGTGAAGGGCTAGGAACGGTTGGGTTGGTCATGGTCTGGCTGTGCTCCCAACTCACTGTGCTACTTTGAGCCAACCTCCTCCTCCCCAGACCTCAGTTTTTCAGAGCCCATCAAGGGGAGGCAGCCCTCTGATTTTGGCAGAGGGTATGAGGACCAGGAACATAGGCAAAGCCTGTGCAAGTGGCAGCAGCTAACACCGAGAGCTGACTTTCTCCAGGTGGGCTCTGGAAGGGGGTTGTTGGGGAGACAAAGCAGCTATGCACATCAGACTTTGGAGAAGCCTGTCCTTGTGTCCTCGCTTGCCCCGAGTGAGCCGGGAGAGCTGGCAGCGCACTGGGAGGCAGGCTCTGGTGGCCCTGACAGCTCAGCAGTGGCAGCAGCAGTGGTGGCAGGGGCTATTCTGAGAGCTGGGGGGGCTGGGGAACTTGACTGGAGGAGGGGAAGCAGTGGGGGGAGTGCCACTGTGGCCCTGGGTGGGGGGTGTCTTGCCAATGGTAGTGTGCATGTGTTCATCATCGGGAGGTGTGGGCCAAGGGCGGTATTGAGGCGTGAGCTGGGATTGTTTGGGTGTACATGCTTGAGTTTTGTGATCCAAGTCCAAGTTGAGTGGGTAGAGCACACATGCATAAGTGTGTGGGTAAGCCAGTGTGTGTGCACTGGGATGCGAGTATGTTTAAGTGTGCAGGCAGGTGCGAGTGGAAGCAAACGTGCCTGCATGTGATGGAGGAATGAAAGGGGCTCAAGTGGGGGCTTGCTTGTGAGCAGGCAGGAACGTGGGAGTGGTAGGGAGGGGAGTGGGCCCTCAAAAGCATGCGTGGGGAAGTGGAGGGAGTGTGAGAGCCGGTGGTCTAGGGAACTGGAGCAAGGCGTGGGTTCAAGTGCAGGGCACCGTGGGAGTGGTAGGGAGGGGAGTGGGCCCTCAAAAGCATGCGTGGGGAAGTGGGGGGAGTGTGAGAGCCGGTGGTCTAGGGAACTGGAGCAAGGCGTGGGTTCAAGTGCAGGGCACATGGCAAGCGTATCTGTGAGTGCCAGTGTGCGGGTGGATGCGAGTGTGTGCGTGGTCAGAGTGGGGGCAACTGTGTGAGTTGGGAAAGTAGGAAGGGAAATCTGCATGAACAACAACAGTAATGAAAACAGCTAGCATTTATTGAGCACTTATTCTGAGCCTGGTGCTGACATCCATAAACTTATTTAATTCTTCAAATATCCTGTGAAGGTAGTGCTATTATGAACTCATTGATAGGGTAGGAAGTAGTGGCTTTGAGCAGTTCAGTAACTTGCCTGTATTCTTAATCACTATGTTCTCCTGCCCCATAATGAACATGTGAGCGGGGCCCAAGTTGTGAGTGAAGAAGAGTGTCAGTGTGAGTTGGAGTGTGTGTGTGGGGGGGTGCTGAGTGTGCCAGGAGTGGGCCCCAGGGGAGAGTCCAGGCAGCAGCTGTGGCCACTGGGCGGGACAGGGGCTGGAGCAGAGCCTGAGTCAGCCTCTAGGATATCTCTGCCAACCTGGCTTCCCAGACCCGCAGTGGCAGCCTGTGCCAGGGCCCCCAGCTAAGAATCTTCCCAGCTCTGGTATGGCCCCCAGCAGGCTCCTGTCTCATAGCTCAGAGCTGGGCCAGGGCTGGAGACTGGCAGGAGGTGGAGGTACCTGAGGGGCAGCCCCCAGTGTGGGCTTCCCATGCAGGGAGGGCATATGAGAGCTGTCGGAGGGGGTCCAGCAGTGATTTCAGGCCCCTTGTGACTCTAAACAGAACCACCTGGAGGATGTGTGTGTAGGAGGGGGGCAGCCAACACTTTCCATGCCCACCCTCCCCTTCGGGCTGTGACTCAGGCAGATGCCACGCCAGGCATCTGCATGCTGGGCCTGCTCCTACCCTGGGGGGTGAAGAGGGGTCCCTCCGGTCCTGCCCCCACCCTTATCCTTGGCCTACTCCTCAGGTCATAAGCTGGAGGGAAGGAGTTCTTGAGAGAGGAGGACTGTCTCCTGTGGCCTGGGCCCAGACCTCCCACTACTCAGAGAACTATGCATCTCCAGTCTCTCCAGGAGCAAGGAACTGGCTGGTGAGGGAGTCCGGAGTTTGGGATTCTAGTCCTGGCTGTGCCATCTGGGCAAGTCACCTCCCCACTCTGGGCTTCAGTTTCATGATTGGCAAAATCGGAATATTGTGCTAATGGGACACAAGATATTGTCAGCAGGGCAGCAAGTGGTCTGGGCAAGCAGGGAACAGAGACAAGTGTTGGGAATTGGGGTTAGAGAAAGTGTCATGCTAGGTTGACATTTGAGCTGAACTTTGAAGAATGGGAGAATCTCTGATGAGGGCCTTGGGGAGGGGAAAGGGTGTTCTAAGCAGAGAGGATACCCTGAGCAAAGGCTGGCAGGTGGAGTAGTGGCTGGAACCTAGACTACCCTGTAGGATGAGGTCATGGACTGCCCAACCTTTCAGCTAGCCTCTTCCTTCTGAGGTCACATGACGATCTGATTAACATCTATCTGCCTTCTCCACTAGTCTATGTAGTAGGGACCTCACTTGTCTCAGTCTCTGCTCTTGCCATAGTGCCCTGGACCGTGCCTGGTTCGTTAAAGGTGCTCAGTGAATGTCGTTAAATGAATGAGAAGCTTCACCCCAAACACTATGAACTTTAGGGCAAGCGCTCTTTCCAAAAGCCCCTGCGAAGACCTCCCACAGACTCTAAAGCGGTGGTTTGCAAAGTGTGGTCCCTGGTGCATCACCTGGGAGCTTGTTAGAAATGCACAGTCTCGACCCTAATTCAAACCTGCCGAATCAGAAACTGGGGCTGGGGCCCAGCAATCTGTGTTAGCAAGCTCTCCAAGATGATTCTGCTCTACTTAAACTCGGAGAACCGAAGCTCTAAAACTATGCCCACAGGCGCCATGAGAGCCTATGAAGAACCCATTCACAGATGGAGAAGCTAGAATTATGGCAAAGCTTGGTCTAGAACCCAGGCATTCTTGATCCATTCCTTTTCCCCAGACCAGTCCAGGGCACAAAGAAATGAGTTCCATCATCTGCCCCGTCAGGTTCCTGGAACCAAGACTTGGAAACCTCAAAGGTCTAGAAACAGAGGGCGGGGCATTCATCTCCGGAGTAGAAGGCGGGGCCAGTGCCCTGAGCCCCGCCCCATCCCCGTTGCCCCGGGAAACCCCGGGTTGTAACAATAACCCGCTGACGGGCTTCTGGGAGGGATTCTGTCGAGTCCGTAGGCGGGACAGTCCTACCGCGGACCAATGGAAGCACCGGAGCCCCGCCCCCGCGCCCCCTCCCCGAGCACCGAG